TGCCTCAAATAGTGCGACTTAACTAGCACGTTGTTTGTCTAGAATATAGCGATTAAAAAAGAAAGTAGTTTACCGAAATAGTTTGACTTAACAAGCAAGTTGTTGGTCTAAAACATTGTGATCAAACAAGTAAGTCGTTTGCCTAAAATAGTATGACTTAACAAGCAAGTTGTTTGTCTAAATTATTGTGAGCAAACAAATTAGTCGTTTGCCAAAAATAGTGTGAACAAGCATTCTGAGAGTATTGCATGGCAATATATAGTCCCCTACTGGGTAAAAATTCATTATACTGGAACAAAATGCTAACTTGTTCTATAACTTGTCATGGTGTGAACAAAAAGTAAATATCATGTCAATATCTTCAAGCATGACTGAAAACAGTGTTGAAAACTGATTATATGAGGGAATTTTCCAAGTCCAAGGACCATAACTCTGCACAAAATTATTAGACCGAAACAAAAATTTGAACTTGATCTGTTACTTGTCATGATAAAACTATATACCAATTATCAATCATTATCTTATAAGCATGATAAAAAAAACATTAGATATGATTAATAGTTCTCTAGAATTAGATATGATGTAATACAGTGTATATCTATTTCAAATTATAATCAGATATAATTAATAGTTCCAAATATTTTTTTCTTTCATTTGTCACAAACTAATATAGATTTGTAACTTATCTATAAAATGTCAACAACTTTTATCTACACAATGTAATGTATTGAAATATATACATTAATAAAAATAGATTATGATCTAATTAAAGGATTTCTCTTCATAATTTTTTTTGATATATATAGCATTCAGAAAATTAGTTTATACTAAATAACAAACAAGCCTGTCAAAAAATTCTTCAAATAATTTAACAAAGAATGTCTTTTAAAAAATGAGTTATCTCCCTTTGTACAGAAATATGGTTTAACATAGTACTCTAACATTAGATATGGTCCAGACTTATGGTCCATAACTCTATACTAAATCATCAGACCGGAACAAAATTCGAACTTGATCTATAACATGTCATGATAAAACCATATACCAAATATCAAATCAATATCTTCAAGAACGAAGAAAAAAAGGGTGGAAAGCTGATTTGCCGGACTGACGGATGGACAGACGGACAGATGGACAGACGGACAGACGGACAGACGGACGGAGTGCAAACCTAAAGTCCCCTTCGACTTCGTCGGTAGGGGACTAATAAACAAACAAGTCGTTTGCCTTAAATATTGCCACTAAGCAGCCAAATCGTTTTATAAAATATTCTGATCCAACAAGCAAGTCGTTTTCCTAAAATAGTGGGACTAAACAAGTTAGTCGTTTCCTCAAATGAATTACATTCATAAATACCCGAACATATTTCTATGCTCGAAAAATTAAAAGCGACGATGATTTACATGCATAAAAAACCCGTACTTACTTCTATGCTTGAAGAACTGAAAGCGATGATTAATTACACGCATACATACCTGAACTTACTTCTATGCTCGCAGAATTGGATTTTAATGAGCGTAATTTATGTATTACTAGTAAAATATTAAGTCAGGGATTTCGTTACCACAAATTACTTAAATCCTTTACTAAATTCTTTCATAGATACAAAGATTTGGTCTGCAAGTATGGCAATACCTGTAGAAAACTTATTTCAATCGAAATAGCACATCCTAAATTTTACGGTTATGTTGTAAACCGAGCCCGGAAATTTAGATACGATCCGGGTTAACTTATCAATCCTTTAAATAAACTTATTCTAAAAGGTTACCTAATCAACGCTGTCATTAAATCTTTGAATATTGTTTTTATTGGTGTAAATATTGATTTTATCATCAGTAAATTAAAACTATACTAAATATTACTAGTACACATATGTACTTTCACGGTACTACAATCTGTCGATACTTATAGTTTGGCATTGCACAAGGTCATGATTTTCTCTGACTGTAATGACGTCTTTTTTTACACTTAATCCATTGAAAGTTGTGTGTGTACTGATTGATATTTTAGTCTTAGATACAAGATTTTTTCATAAGTTGGTATTGGCATTGAACTAGCTGTCAGTAACTGCGAGTACTCTCAGATCTATACTTAGTGTCGTATTGAATTTGGGGTTTATAAGTACCCGTACACGTCCACTTTGTGTTTTTTGTTAGATGTATTTGTATTTGTATCCACTGTCCCAGGTTATGGGAGGTTTGAGCACTCACAAACATGTTTGACCCCGCCACATTCTTTATGTGCCTGTCCCAAGTCAGGAGCCTGTAGTTCAGTGGTTGTCGTTGGTTCATGTCTGTCATAGTTGTTTTTTGTAAATTGTTTTGTTATAAATTAGTTTTCTCAATTGAATTGTTTCATATTTTTCATGTCGGGGCCTTTTATAGCCGACCATACCGTATGGGTTTTTCTCATTGTTGAAGGCCGTACGGTTGCCTATAATTGCTTACATCCACTTCATTTGAACTTCGGTGGATAGTTGTCTCATTGCCAATCATACCACATCTCTTTATTTTTATATATATATATATATCCGGACTTACTTCTTTGCTCGAAGAATTAGTAGCGACGATGAATAAAATGCATATAAATTTGGACTTACTTTTATGCTCAAAGAATTGGTACCGACGACAAATTACATGCATATATACACGGACGTAATTCTATGGTCGAAGAATTGATATATCCGGACAAAAATTTTGTAGCGACGATGAATTACGTGCATACATACCCGGACTTACTTCTATGCTCAAAGAATTGATATATCCGGACTTACTTCTATGCTCGAAGAATTGATAGCGACTACGAATTGTATGCATATATATACCCGAAATTATTCCTATGCTCGAAGATTTGATTACGACGATAAATTGCATGCATATATACCCGGAATTACTTCTTTGCTCAAAGATTTTGTAGCGACGATGAATTACATGCATATATATCCGGACTTACTTCTATGCTCGAAATATTGATAACGACGACGAATTTTATGCATATATACCAGAAATTACTTTTATGCTCGAAGAATTAATAGCAACAACATCCCGGACTTACTTCTATGCTCGAGGATTTGATTAAGACGATGAATTACATGCATATACATCCGATCGTACTTCTATGCTCGAAGAATTGATACCGACGATGAATTACATGCATATATACCCGATCTTACTACTATGCTGGAAGAATTGATAGTGACGATGAATTACCTGCATATATATCCGGACTTACTTCTATGCTCGGAAAATTGATAGCGACGTTGAATTACATGCATATATACCCGAACATAATTCTATGCTGGAAGAAATTGTGGCGACGATGAATTAAATGCATATATACCCGGACCTTCTTCTATGCTCGAAGAAATGACAGCAACGATGAAGTACATGCATATATATATGAACTTACTTCTATGCCCGAAGAATTGATAGCGATGACAAATTACATGCATATATACCCCAACTTACTTCTATGCTCGAAGAATTGGATGCGATGATGAGTTGTCTGTTATTGTTCGCACTCTTTATTGTAGCTGAACTTTTATAAACTATACCAGCCACCTGAAACAATAACTTTAATTGCAAATAGCCGTAGACTTTATTATAATATGTATTTTTACATGTTTAGCGCAGATAAGGATACGATAGAAATATATTATTTACGCGGACTAGGATACAAATTCTCAGTATCCATCCCAAAAAAACAGGAAAGTTTTACTTGTAATCCCTTTTGTGATAAATAAAATAATATTAATATCAGATTATTACATGATAAGATATCAAGATATCATCACATGAGCCGAATGTTCAAGGGATGATAATACATCTTAAATGAAAAATTATCTTTTTTGTGTGCTGAAGTTGTGTATCGTTTTATTTACTTTACAGTTTTGCCTTTATTTATCATGGTGCTATAATGTGTTTTTTAGTTGTATGACTTTTGACGTGACTCGGTATTTATGCATCCTGCCATCGGGTTTCTGACTTTGGGTGTTCATGTGCAGATAGGTCTTGAGGTGCGATTCGGACGCAAGAGATTTTTACACTGTTGATTTAATTTTCTTTACCCTTTTATTTATATTTTACTTGATTTGTACTCTATCGAGATAGTGAATACTATATACTGTATGTACTATCAACTTCAAAAACATTTTTAATCGACGTCTTTGCAATTTACCATCAACTACAAAAACGTTTGATTTTGTCAGTCTTTATGGATATCCCCCATTTTTAATTTACCTTGGAGTATTCGGTATTTTTATTTTACTTTTTAAATTTACCTTGGAGTTCTGTATTTTTGTTTTACTTTTTTAATTTACCTAGGAGTTCGATATTTTTGTTTTACTATTGTATTCATACATTTCCACTTGCAAAAAATAACATTTATAAAAAGGTTCCATTTGAAATAAACATCATTCACAATTACGCAATTTAATAATCATTCTCATAGAATACTTAAACGTATTCATACTATCTACAGATTCCATACTGATGTTTTCTTTAACAAATATAATCCCCTGTACCTGCTTCACGGTACGTTTCTTAGTATTATCGAAAAATTAGTGTCATTTAATAAAAATGTTATGAACTGGCTATTTCTGTATTGGCCCTGGTTTTGATCCTCGATCAGCTGTGTTGGCCCTCGATTCTTCAAAGTCATGGCCAATACAGCACAACCAGTCGACAACACTATTATATCTCATCGAAACAGGATACTTTAATTTGAAATCACTTCCAATGAAAAGGAATTTGAAATTGTTCCCTTGGAACAGGATACATTTTTTGGATATTTTTCCGGCGGAAAATGGTACGATTATTTTATTCCTTTAAACCAGGGATATCGTTTTGTTTATCGTTTAACATTCGTCTTTCATTTTGAATGATAAGTGATTTTAATCACTGTTGTGATTAAAATCACTAATTTGCTAAATTGTGGAAATGCTTCAATACATCGAAAGACCTTCATAGAAATTGATTTGGATTTATTTTAGTTGTACTCACCTTTGTAAAATTAAGTGAATCCTTCGATATATTCACTAGGACACCAAATGTATGTGTCTCGCCTTTCTCTAATGAATCAATCTTTATTTCAATGATCGCACATTTACTCGAATCAACTGTGTTACATGACTACAAAATAGGTTTCATTTGATTAGCATGGCAAATAATGTCCATCACTTAGACATAGGTTTCATTTGATTAGCATGGCAAATGTTGTCTATCACTTAAACATAGGTTTCATTTGTCTAGCATAGAAAATGTTGTCCATCACTCAGGAAAGATGGATAATCACAAACGTTATAAAACATTAAAAAAAATCAGAAATAAAATTTTATTAACAAATCGACAAGAGAAACCAATTAGCCTGTGTCAGCTATAATAGGGCCTCAATCTGAGTACCAGTAATATTATATCATGTAATCAAGAGTCCAAGGACCCTGTATCACTCACTTTGCATCTGTATATAGGAACTAAATATGAGTTCCAGTAATGTTAAATCATATTCTCAAAAGAATTAAGTTTGATATTAATGAGTTCGATGTCATAGAAATTCTCTCAATGAACTGTCAAAAAAATCTAATTTGTCGAAAAGAATAGAGAATAAAAACGGGTTATGTGTTCTCTAAAGAGAGACAACAATCGACCAAAGAGCAGAAAGCACAAGGCCTCTAAATGGTCTTTTACCCAGCGAACTTCAGCTTTCGAAATAAACTAATAAATACCAAAACATAAATATCGTTAATAAAACCATCATCCAATATAAAGATTTATATTTTATATCAATAATAATATGAAGTGTCTTAAAGATTTTATCCTCCCGACATTCCCACAAAGCGTGACATCAAATATCCTCTAAATATATTTGTATCTTCTTAAAGAATTTATTTTCTTTTTCTTTTTCTTTTCTTTGTTTTTTGGTTTGTTTTGTTTTTGTGTCATTTTTTGTCATCATCTTCTTTTTTTGTTACTCTTTTTAAATGCAGTATCACTGGTGGCTGTGATTAAAATATATATACCGTAAATCTGAACCAAATAAGTACGAGGTTCATTTGCCAAAATCTTGGAAGAAACATGTTGTGATATACTTAATCAGCTACGCAATATTCATGTAGCTCGAACCTATAGGGTGATCTATAGTTACTTAGTTCTACGTCATTTGGTTTCTGGTTGAGAGATATATCAATCAAACAACATCGTCCGATAATGAGCTAATAACGTAAAACGTACGAAGAAACCAATTACTACTAAGCTATAAAACACTGTAAGCCGAAGAAACCAATTACTAGTAAGCTATAAAATACTGTAAGCCGAAGAAACCAATTACTAGTAAGCTATAATATACTGTAAGCCGAAGAAATGAATTACTAGTAAACTATAAAATACTGTAAGCCGAAGAAACCAATTACTATTAAGCTATAAAATACTGTTAGCCTAAGAAATTACCATGACGCAGATTGAGCAGCTTCAAACTTAAACCATGATTGGATGATGAAATCTGGTGAAAGATAAGAAGTTCTTACGTTACTAATGGCGTCTGTCTTTTTGCAACTGATAATTTATGATTTCGATGAAGAGTCGCATTCGGTGATATCAAGACGAGGGCAGACGGACTGGTTATTGGCTGAGATTATATCTAGACGATGGCAGAAGGACTTGTTTTAACTGAGATCAATTGAATATATAAGAGGCCATCTTTTATGCATAAAGTTAATCAAAGGATTTATTCAAATCAAACAAACATAAATTAGGCCGTTAGTTTTCTCGTTTGAATTGTTTTACATTGTCATTTTGGGGCCTTTTATAACTGACTGTGCGGTATGGGCTTTGCTCATTGTTGAAGGCCGTACGGTGACCTATAGTTGTTAATCTCTGTGTCATTTGGTTTCTTGTGGAGAGTTGTCTCATTGGCAATCATACCACATCTTCTTTTTTATATGTACAATAAAAGATAAATGAGTGAACGTTGATTAGCTTTTTATAACTTACAATTTCCTTTAGCATCTGTTTAGTTTCTCTACGTCTTTGACTTTGTGTAGATTGTTTTGTTGTATTACTAGAGGTAGACGATATAGTTGATCCTTGATTTGTAAAGGGTTCAGATGTTGGGAAATCAGTATTAAAATGTCCATTAAATAATTCGTCTGCAAATTCAACCACACGCCATTTAATCCTCGAACTGTGTCCTGATAACTGTAATATAACGTTAACTTACTTTCTCCATTTACTAGATTTCATACTTTATTTGTTTTCATTTTTTTTTTGTTTGAATATGTGCTTGAAACTATTTTAGCCTACCGAATTAGACTACTTACCGGATTTGTAATAACATAAGCAACACGACGGGTGCCACATGTGGAGCAGGATCTGCTTACCCTTCCGGTGCACCTGAGATCACCCCCAGTTTTTGGTGGGGTTCGTGTTGCTTAGTCTTAAGTTTCTTTGTTGTGTCATCTGTACTATTATTTTTCTGTTTGTCTTTTTATTTTTAGGCCATGGCGTTGTCAGTTTGTTTTCGATCTATGAATTTGACTGTCCCTCTGGTATCTTTCGTCCCTCCTTTAGTAAAGTTTCATAGATTTTGTTCTATTATCATTTCTTGAATAAGATTATCAAGAGTAGCTTCAGGATTAAGTCTTAGATATATGATTCTTTATTAGTTGTTATTGGCTTTGGCAACTCGCTCTCAGTTACAGCAAGTACTTTCGTATTTATACTTTGTGTTTTTTTTTTTTTTTTGTTAATTGTTTTTGTGATGTGTACCGATTTGATGAGTTTAGCCCTTTTCAACTGAATTATTTAATTTGTTCTTATGTTGTGCTTTTTGTCGTTTTTTGTTTGGTTCATAAATCAGGCCGTTATGTTTCTTGTTCGGATTGTTTAACATTTACCATTTTGTGGCCCTTTATAGCTTTAAATGTGGTATTGGTTATACTCGTTGTTGGAGGCCATATGGTGACCTATAGTTGCCTATATCATTTGGTCTTAGGTGGAGAGTTGTCTCCTTGGCACAATCATACCATATCTTCTCATTTATTTTAATACTTTTTTTTACATTTTCAGCAATTTACTGTTAATGTTATTGCTGGTATGTTTAAAAATCTACATAGATATATTTATATGCACAAAGGGAAGTCGTGATAAAGCTACCTAATTGTACAAATATGTGCATGCATCTTATTTTCTGTATATCATTTCTGTTTTTTTTCTCGTCCTTATACGTTTCTTTTTATATGATATGACGATAAGACAGATTTCTATAGATACATTAAACAGGGGATTCTACCTTTTAGAATTACCTGTATCAATATAAAAACAGCACAACATAAGAACAAACTATAAAAATCATGTGAAAGAGGCTTAATTTATCAGATCGATACAAAGCAGAAAAAACAAAAATACAGACCGGACGTTGCGGAATATTTATATATCCTCAACAACAAAAAAGACGCAAGAACAGATCTGAGGGTACTCGCAGTTATTGACAGCTAGATCAAAGCCAATAACAACTTATAAATTAAAATAGGTATGTAAGACTCAAATATCAATCAGTGCACATCCAACATCAAAGTTAATGGATTCAGTAAAAGATGTCATTAACAGTCAGAGAAAAACATGACCTTGTTCAATGCCAGGATAAAGGTACGCCACTTTGTAAGTGCATATGTGTATAAAAAATATTAAGTATGGCTTTAATTTACTGATAACAAAATCACTATTCATACACAAAAAAACCCACAATATTCAAAGAACTTATTAGTGAAGAATTGGTAATCATTCAAAATAAGTTAATTTAAAGGATTGATAATTTTACCCGGATCGTATCTTAATTGCCGGGCTCGGAATATAGATCCATTACACAGGGGATTCAGACCTCTGGAATTACCTTTGTTACCCTTCAAGTCATCATACTTTTTCCTAATTCTGGTATGACTGGTAGGTAGATGTCTATAGATCCATTATACATGGGATTCAGACCTCCGAAATAACCTTTATTACCGTTGAAATCATCATACGTTTTCTTAATTCTGGTATGACTGGTAAATAGATGTCTATAGATCCATTATACAGGGGATTCAGACCTCTCCAATTATCTGTGTCAACCTTCATGTCATCATACGTTTTCTTATATGTCTGATATGACAGACAGAAAGATTTTTCTGGATCCATTGCTCAGCAGACTATAATCTTTTCACTTACCTGTATCGTTTCTTTTGTCATCATGCTAATTCCGACATCTGATATGACAGGCAGACATATTTCTATAGATCCATTATACAGGGGGCTAGGACCATCATTCTTTACATTGAAGGTATGAACAAAATTAACTTTTTCCTTCTCTGTGATAGTTAATTGATCTGGTCTTGAAATTCTGTACGAAATTAAATAGTTCATAATTTGAAATGATTACTCTTTACCTCTTTTATATTAGCATCAAGAAAACCATGAGACAGAATGATTCAACTTGTATACAACTTTGGTGTCATATTCTACTCTATTGCTAATCATTTATTTTTCTCACAGTTGACACAAGAACGAAAATGAAAATTAAACGTTATAAATTATAAGCGTTCGAAACGTTTTTTCTCGAAGATTTCAAAAGAAATGTTTATCTTTTTATAAATAAATTTAAAATATTTCTACATAAGAAAATGCCTGTACCAAGTCAGTAATATGACAGTTGTTGTCCATTCGTTTGATGTGTTTGTGCTTTTGATTTTGCCATTTGATTAAGAATTTTCCGTTTTGGATACACAAACAAAACAATATACTGTATACATTGACGTATGTATACACAGACAAAACAAAATATTGTATCTGCTGGCGAATGAATACACAAACAAAATTTTCTTTTTTTGAATTGTTTCACATTTTGTCAATACAAAGCCTTTAGTTTGTATACAGTATTTGTTTTGCTAATACGCCTGAATCCAATCATTATCTTTCCGTCAAAGTGTTCGGTTTCAGGTGACATTATTTCTGCCTTTCTGCGGTTTGAATCACGGAGTTACAAAATCACTTACACTTAAGATTTCCCCTGTCACGCATGGTTATGAATGAGTTGCTGACTTGTATAATCATGAAGCCATTACTATAAACATCGATATAAAACTTTACATTGCTTGTGTTATGTTCACATCGTAAAATAATCACCTACCCATTTAGTTGTACACCGACATGTAATTTCACACTGGCAATGAGTTTCCAAGAATTATCCGAAATATCCATATCGGTACTGGTGGCGTCTACTAATGTATTGAAGACTAGCTGCTGTTCAAAATTACCAAGATTTTCTCCATCTTTAATCAACAAATCACGTGACACTTTAAAGCGAGCATTAAAGATGACTATTTGCTGCTGCAATAATATATTTCTGAGATCACACTGAACATGTGTCTCTTTGTTTTCGTCAACAATGTTTCTGCAGTCTACAGGCTCAGTAACTTCATTTGTCGGCTGGCTGAATCCAATATATCTGGTATTGTCAGATATGTCAATATTTATCCGCGTCCCATGTGACAGATCTCCTTCGTTAGTTACTTTAACGGTAACATCTACTTCAGAAGTTACCCCTAATATAATATTTTGTGGATGTAATGTGGATTCTATCCGCAGGTCAGGATGACATGTTCCATTACAACCAGTTGTAAAGACAGCCTGAAACGAATATCTTTTATAAAAGTTTCTACTTCTTTGTTTACCTGTTCTTCATTAATTGGTTTATATGAAAATAAGAAGATGTGGTATGATTGTCAATACGACAACTCTCTACCAGAATCCAAATGACATTGAAGTTAACAACTATATGTCACCTCACGGCCTTCCACAATGAGTAACCCCATTACGCAGTCAGCTATAACAGACCCCAAAATGCCAAATTTAAAACAACCAAACCAGAAAACGTACGGCCTGGTGTATGTACAAAACAATTAACGAAAAGCAAATATGATATATAGTAAAACAACCAAGAGTTTCAAGCTCCTGACTAGGAACGTGCACATACAGAAATGAACGCATGAAATTTATAAAGTGTTGTTTTCATTTTTTACAGCACTAGGTCGATACCGCTTCTGATGAACGATTAGTCATCGAGTGTATCATCAGCTCAGTAGTCAGTTCTTCGGTACTGACATGATGAAAAAAAATCTTAAATTAATCATTTATAAATTTATAATTATTAAGAAACTAAAATTTCGACGTTTCTAATGAAGTCATATCCAGAAAAGAGTATGGAACGCATGAAATTTACCACTTTACCACTTTGACGACGCCTCTAAGAGATACCGACGGGATACCTAACCGATGTCAATGATTTTGTTCTGACGTGATATATTTCTGATCATGATAACATTTAAGATTTCCTTTGATAAATATTTAAAAACAAATATCAAGAAAAAAAATCCGAATATCAAGTTAAATTCAAAAAGGGGGAGGCTTTGTCTTGTTCTGAATAAACTGCTTAATCTTTAATAATTTCTTGTGATTTCCTAATTCTGACTTAGATCGGATCTGTAAGTCAGCATGCATAGCAGGAGACGCTTATCTTGTTGATGAACCCTTTTCACCCCATTTTGAAGACTCATGTGATTCCTTTTGGTTTTTCCTGGTTATCAGAGAGAGGTGAGAGATACCAAAGGTACATTATAACTCATTTGTAAAAAATAAATGGCTAAAAATATTTAAAAAAAAACAACAAGACAAACCACAGTACACAAAACACACCATAGAAAACTAAAGACTAAGCAACACGAACCCCACTATAAACTAGTAATGATCTCAGTTGCTCCGGTATGATAAAGCAGATCCTGCTCTACATGTGGCACCCGTCATGTTGCTCATGTTATTACAAACCCGGTATCAAGTCTAATTCGGTAGGTCACATTCGGGGAAAGGGGGACGTTATGTCTCGTATGAATTTATTTCGCCATTTGAACATCGATCTCCTTTATATAGAGCCTGCGACAACTCAAGTTTAAACATGTGCATATTTTGTTATTGCAGCCTAAATCAGTTTTTCGTTTGAAATGTAGACGATCATCTGCACCACTTGTATTTTAATCAGACGATCATCTGCACCACTTGTATTTTAATCAAGTCAATCCCCTACACCTACACTTATAAACAAAAATTACATACAGTGTCTCTGTTGATTGTTAGATCATTATCGAGTACAGGTTGGACTTCTCCCAGTAGAGGTGTATCACTAAGTTTGTATGTTGTTTCCATAACCAATTCTTCCTCAAGTGATGCAAAAAACTGTCTGTCTAATGCCTAATAGAAACAATATTCTGTTTATTCATCAATTTTATATAACTGTAAATGTATATGTTATGAAAATAAACCTTAACAATGAAGGATAGCCTGGCATTCTCATATTAAAAAAGCAGCATATCGTCTTCATTAAACACCCACTACAGAGTCGTCTTAAGAATATGACAGTTTTTTTTTTTTGTTCGTTTGATATGTTTGTAAAGTGTATATCTCAGCACAAAAACAGAAACAACGGATGCACATCAAGAAATGATAATATGGCAGGAAATTTTTTATGAGTACATTTAATAATTAAGATAGCATTTAATAAAAAAAATATTATATTCAAGCTGGTCGCTGTGTTATAATTCTTAAATTTACTTTAATAAATTAAAGTGAAATAACTTTCAAAATTCTGAACAGTTCTTATAAATGTAACCCCAGAAATGTGTAGCGAACGCAGCTCTTAATTGATCTAACAGATTTATCAAAAATTCTATTGAATTTTGCTGGTCTCAGGGTCATTTGTCAAGTATTTCAGTTGACCAGTAAAGTTGTAAAATCAAATGGTAAATGTGTGTGCCCCCGGTTGAACAAAACGAAAGTTCCTTTAGGAATGTGTTACGAACACGGCCTCATCAAAAGAACTGCAGAAAAGTGAAGCCAGTGCAATTTGTTTTTCTTTAAGATTTGAAAGAAACATTTTCATAATTAATTTTTTTCTAGTCTAAATCCACATTTTCTTTTAAAACAAAAGAATCCTTTTGTGTTCGTTTACTTGAGCTTTTAATATAGCCTATTTTGTCATATGTTTGACTATGCAAATATTATTGTGATTTGTGTCTGTATATGTTGTCATTCATACAAATTAACATCTTCTTCCTTTAATTCAATCTATAAAAAAAATAAAAGAACCCATTAAAAACATATTTCCGTCTTAACAGCTATAAGGAAGAATGACTGCAATCGATAGGACATAAGTTTTATTGTGAAAAGTAAAATTACAAAAATATCAAATTCCGAATAAAATTCAATACGGAAAGTCCCTAATCAAATGGAAAAATCAAAACCTCAAACACATCAAACGAATGGATAACAAATGTCATACTCCTGAGTTGGTACAGGCATTTTCTTATGTGACGGATTGGCTGACCAATACGACGTATCATTCATTCGCCATCTTAAATCTTTAGATACCAGTGAAGTAGTATGATCTGTATTTTGACCAATTGTGTCATGTGTTGTATATCTGTGATGTTAATACGATTTTCTTTTAATTGACATTATGCTATTGTTTTCATTTTGATCTTATGATTTTTTTACGCGGCTCGTTATTCGTTCGTTTTGCTTTCGGGTTTATTTGGCATTGAACGTTCGAAGTGCGGGTGGGTAGGTACGATTTAAGTTTAGAACAAACTGGCAATCCAATGGCACAAAACGCTAAACTACGAATAGACTACCAGCATTTAAAAAAAAAAACCAAAACTTATAAATCTATAGACTGAGCAACAAGAACACCCACAAAAAAACGGTACTGCACGGTAAAAACTATCAGCTACACACACTGCATGACAAACTACTGATTTGGGACACGCACATACATAAAAGCGCTTCGGACGCATGAAATTTATTGTGTTGTATAATATAGTCGAGAGTTTGATTGAATTCTATCTTTTTGAATTTACCTTGGCGTTCGGTTTTTTTTTTTTGTCATTACCTTTCTATTTACATTCTGACTAAGTGTGAATTTGCATGGAAGGTAATGCCAGGAGACGTTTACCCTGGAGTTCATGCGATGTCCAATGTTTTTGTTTGTTATCTTGATTTGTGTCTTTGCAATCGATTCACGAAATTTGAACAACAGTTAATTTCTGTCGCGTAATTTTCAAATACGTTCAAGATTTTATTAATAGGTCAAACAGATTTCTTGTACCTTATAAAAAGTAAAATAACAAAAATACATTTTCTCCAAGGAAAATTCAAATCGGAAAGTCCCTTATCAAATGGCAACATCAAAGTGTTACTCATAATGAACCATCATCATCGTCGATATAATCATCAACACCAATGACATCTTCACAGAATAGTATCATTTCTCATTGTGTGCTTCATTCTTTTTCTTTTCTTCCTTTATTTATAGATCGTATAGTGGTTTTAATAAATGCAACAGAAGTATACCGCTGTCCAATCGTCATAAATCGATTAAGGGAAAACAAATCGCACCGAGGGAAACACATCAACTACAAGATGAAAACATCGGAACAACGAAAACTCTGAGCTTCAACAAAAACAAACGCCAACATACATAGTAACGGATTATCTGAAAACAACTGCCATATTCTTGACTTAGTACAGGAAATTTTTAGAAAAACATGGTGGGTTGAACCTTGTTTTATGGCTAGCCAAACCTCCCGCTTATGGCAATGTTAAAAATACCGCTAAAATGACAACATTACGTGACAGGAATACAGTACAAATAATCGCAAGAACACTCAGGACAGAGAAATACATAAATAAATTATATAATAGTACATTACAACATGTAAATCACTTAAAAATTAGCATTTTACATGCATGATTATAAAATTATCAATTTATATATAATCATATTGTATTATGAAGAAAACTTTATAATTATGACTTACTTGTGTCTTATACTTTTTGTTATCATTTTACTTAGATTAAGCAAATGGCATATGTTTAAACTAAACAGTCGGCTTAATCTTAAGATTATTCAATTAATATTCATTCTGCAGACATGCCTAAAGATGACTTATATTTTCATTTTCCTTTTTTAAGTTTTGAATAGAAAGGAAGATACCAAGATTCAAAACTCATAAGAGCAACAAAAAACTGACAACACCATGGGAATAAACAAAAGAACGACCAAAAGACAAACAATTTAACAAAGCACTACATAGAAAACTAAAGACTGAGCAAACAATCCTACACCCCAATAAAAACCAGGTGTCTGGCCGTGCTGCTCATGCAATTACTAATACTGTGATCAGTCTCATTTGATGATGTTATAATCGCAAAATTGGGATGATGTAGTATTTTTATTCGATTTCACCTCAATATATCTTTTTTTTTTAGATTAAAGAAATATTTTGTGATGACATTTATGGAATTGTGTTATAGTTAATATCCGATATGTTCAATGTTACCATGATCTCCTCTTCATTTTCTTGTATTTGATATTACCGCATGAGACTTATCATCGGATTTTCACTTGTATGAACAACACAAAGAATGTAATATGCGGAGCTGCAACTGCAGCATACCCTTCCGGAGCACTTATATTCACGTGTTTTTGGTTTGGTTGTTGTTGCTAAATCTGTTCTTTTCTATGTAATCTCTTTGCTCTTGTTGTTGAGTTTTTTGTAGTTTTTATTTTTGCCATGATGAGATCTGGTTTTATTTATTTCGGATTTCTTATCGCCAACTGTATTTTTTTCCCTCTGTGATAATTTCTGTAAAAATAAAGAGTTTCACAAACCGTCACAATAGCGAAGTACTCCATACATGATTCTGACAATTTTCTAACTTGAAATCTTTTTCCTTCTAAGTTACCACTTTCAAACTCTTCTGTTTCTGATGAAAGATGAACTCGAGTTGGATTACTTGGTGTTGACAAAGTTCTCCGAATATCCGAGCTTAGGTTATAATCAATAACTAGGAATTAGAAATGCAAAGAAGACATTTGATTAAAATATATTGGTCTATGCTGTATCAATAGGTAAACATATTAATTGTTGTCATCTGTGCATTATCGTATTCCTTATTATACGTTTTTTAAACGAAAAGCTAGTGTCATTAGATCTGTTTTATTTATTTATAAAGCTGACAATACTATGTTCTAGTGAATAAGGGGGAAAAAAGCAAACATTAAATAAAGGCAACAGTAGTATACCGCTGTTCGAAACTCATAACTCGATAGAGATAAAAAAACAAATCCGGGTTACAAACTAAAACTGAGGGAAACGCATCAAATATAAGAGGAGAACAACGACACAACAAAAACACAACATTAAAATGTAACACACACAGAAACGAACTATAATATAACAATGGCCATTTTCCTGACTTGGTACAGGACATTTTAAGAATAAAATGGTGGGTTGAACCTGGTTTTGTGGCATGCCAAACCTCCCGCTTTTATGGCAACGTCAAACACAACACCAAAACGACAACATCACATGACAGGACCACAATACAAATAAATGGGAGAACATATAGGACAAAGAAACACACGAATAATAGCTAGCAGAAGGTACTAGGCTTAAAATCCTTCACTGAAAAAAACCTAAAGATTGAACAACACGAGTCACATCAATAACCAGAGGTTAAGTCGAATTCGATAATACTTTGCAATTCGTGTGTCACTATTTTCATCATTAGAATCAATAGATCGTCTAAAGGTCAACTTTTTATACTCACAAATTGAATCTGGAACTGAAACTCCAGTGTAGGAAAAGCACAGTCTAACTGTCACACATGGTCTGTATAATTTATCTCGACATTTCAGTTCAGACGAGTTCAAAGGTATATCAGATGGAAACACTTTAATAGTGTTATTAAGCTTTAAAATAGGTCTGCCTCGTAATACAGTAACAGTATTGGACATGTAGGATCCAACTAGGAAATCTAAAGAAAATACGATACGATTATAATCTACTGTCTTCCACACAAGCGCAACTGACCATGAGGCCTTCGAAGTGGAAACAACAGGCATTTGCATAAAAATGTTGACAAATAAGTAGATTTATTTTATTTGTACTCCTCTTTAAAAGCTCATTTTGTAGCCAAAGAAAACTTGGTAAGGGGTTCTTCCACCCTGTCTTCGCTGGTCTTTAGATCAACCGTCCAGAAAAATAGATGAACAATTTTAAAAAGATAAAATGATCATCTCAACCTTATGAGCCTCAAAATTGCAATAATATTCTTCTTAGACTAAATAAAAAAAATTATCTATGAATGATGTATATTTACTCACATACATTTAGGGTTATTCATCAAATCATATTGTTGCAAGATTATTACAGGAATACTTTCCCTCAGCATTCTCTAGTAAATAAAGGCTACAGTAGTATACCGCTAGTCATAAATCGATTAAGCGAAAACAAATCCGGGTCTAGTAAACCAAATCCTTCCTTTAAGTGTCATTTATTGTCTCAAGCACAAACAATATATGTTAAGTACAATTAGAATTCTAATCTGGAATACTGTAGAACTTGGTGTGTTATTTGAATATCGCAAACAGGAACAAGAAAAACAGAACAACTTATTCTTTTTGTTAATTGTTTTTGTGTGCGTAGCAACAATAGTGTTATTAAGCTTTATAATAGGTCTGCCTATTGAAGAGTACAAATTTCAAAAGTCACTTTGTACTCTTCAAAGTGACTTTTGAAGAGTACAAACTCTGACAGACTGTAAAAAACCCAATTAAAACAAGAACATTGTTTGTCTTTTCTCCCAAAACAACTGACGTCAAGACACTTTACAAGTATGTTTGCAATCCTGATATAGATTGCCCTAGAATAGATCTTTATATATAAGGGGTTACTGCTAAATATATATAAAAAATCAAAAGACAAAAATACTAACAGTAACATGTTATCCTAATGTCAACGGGCTTCAATATTGAGCAATATCTATCCCATATAGTAAGTAATACATGTCCAGGGATGACAAAGTTTGAAACTTATCAAAATAGAAAACTAACTGTCTGTTTAAACTAAAAGAACAAACAGAAACTAGCAACAACCACTTGATTACAGGCTCCAGGCGTGTGACATTTACAAAACGAATGTTGTGGGGTTTAACACGTCTGTGAGTGGTCAGACCTCTTACTACCCTGGGACATTGGTGAAATAAAAAATCATCGGAGAAAACGGTAAAATCTATCTAAAAGGGCTGGCCCATCAAATCGGTACTTTGCTACGCACACAAAAACAATTAACAAAAAGACAACAGACATAAATTATCAAAATGGCTACAATTGTCATATTTCAATATATATCATCTTTCGGTAAAATCAAGGTAAAGGCTGAATGTAGGATCATAATTGTTTTTATCTAATTTTTAGACCGGTTATTTATTTTTATTTAACCAACGTGTGGTTTGTTTGATCTCAGTTCTTCGTTGGTCAAAAATCAATTATGACGTCCAATTTTCTTGCTCTACTTTGAATTTCCAACTATGACGTCACAAAACTAGAGGCTCTCAAGAGTCTGTGTCGTTATCTGATTCTACTTTGGTTTTGGAAATGTAAAAAAAAATTAAAATCATAACAGATACCCTAATAATGATTGAGGCCAAATTTGGTTGAATATTGGCCCCGTAATTTAATCAAAAATCCTAGTAGCCATCTTGAACAGTAAATCGGCAACAAAGTGGCAACACTTCATCAGCACCTAATAAGGAACATTTATGTCATGTTTGGTTTCATTCCATTCAATGCTCCTCTAGAAGAAGCATTTGTATGTATTTCCCATATGGTCTTATGTTAAACTAATTCCCCTGTTGGCGGCCATCTTGGATGATGGTTTGGCTACAAAGGAACAACACTTCGTCAGCACCTCATTAGGAACATTCATGCCATGTTTAGTTTCATTTTATTCAGTGGTCCTCTAGAAGAAAACATTTGTATGTATTTTCCATAGGGTCCTATGTTAAACCTACTCCCCCTGCTGGCAGCCATCTTGGATGACAAATCAGCTACAAAGTAACAACACTTGGTCAGCACGTCAAACGAAACATTCATACCATGTTTGGTTTCAATCCATTAAGTGGTTTCCTAGAAGAAAACATTTGTATGTATTTCCCTTAGGGTCCTATGTTAAACTAAGTCCCCCGTTGGCAGCTATCTTGATTGATGGATTTGCTACAAAGTAACAACACTTGGTCAGCACCTCATAAGGAACATTCGAGCCATGTCCGGTTTCATTCCATTCAGTGGTTCTTCAAAAGAAGACTTTAGAATGTATTTCACACAGGGTCCATTTGTTAAACTAAGTTCCTCGCTGGCAGCCATCTTGGATGATTGATATTCATAAAGAATATTCATGCAATATTTGGTTTTATTCCATTCAGCGGTTCTCTAGAAGTTTAAAATATAAAAAGTTGAACCTACTCCCCCTGCTGGCAGCCATCTTGGATGACAAATCAGCTACAAAGTAACAACACTTGGTCAGCACGTCAAACGAAACATTCATACCATGTTTGGTTTCAATCCATTAAGTGGTTTCCTAGAAGAAAACATTTGTATGCATTTCCCTTAGGGTCCTATGTTAAACTAAGTCCCCCGTTGGCAGCTATCTTGATTGATGGATTTGCTACAAAGTAACAACACTTGGTCAGCACCTCATAAGGAACATTCGAGCCATGTCCGGTTTCATTCCATTCAGTGGTTCTTCAAAAGAAGACTTTTGTATGTATTTCACATAGGGTCCATTTGTTAAACTAAGTTCCTCGCTGGCAGCCATCTTGGATGATTGATATTCATAAAGAATATTCATGCTATATTTGGTTTTATTCCATTCAGCGGTTCTCTAGAAGTTTAAAATATAAAAAGTTTACGACGACGACGGACGACGACGGATTACGGACGCCAAGTGATGAGAAGGCGACCATGCCTGATGATGTTACAAAGAAAGGAAAGGGTTGTAACACATTACATATTGTATAGTGGCATGTATGCTAAAACTACGGTAATAAGTACACAGTTATACATCTATAGAATAAATCCTTGGCAAAATTAAGAAAAATACATATAAGTTATAACGAATAAATAATAATGAATAAATTAATGATAGAAACATCTTACCACATTACCTTGGTAATTGTTATTGTCGATGTCATAAGCAGTAGAAATGTACCAACCAAACGACAGTAGGTTACTACTTATATCTTGAGCTTTAATTTTCTGTGTGTATGTAAGTTTGGTATAACCACCGTGGTAGATATATATAGCTCCTTGATTGTTCTCCTCATAAGGTGCACCAATGGCTACATCTGTGTAAAGATAATATTTTACATTGTTTAGAAATGAATATATTAAATACTATTTTTTGTTAAATTAAATACATGCATCGAATATCCCTTTTGTATCCCCTCCTGTCATGTATACTACAATTTCGTATCAAAACACTTCGTATAAAGTATAAAATGCATCATCCTTTTCGACAGACAAACACAGCTGATCTGACATATAAACTACAATGCTTGTATTGATTAAAATATATTAACTGTCAGATGTGTTCCTGATATAAACACTGCTCAAGTAGCGTTATGTGGGAAAAGGACTAAAATTGACTTGTATATGTTTAACGCTACCATAACAAATGATACGATGTGTCAGTATCTCATCCAAAAGAAGACATAATGTTTCAGATCTTAAGATACCAGAATCGTCATCTGATATGTTGGTGTTGCTTAGCATGTCGAGTGATGCATGTATAACAAGACCACTACATTAACAAATTATTAAGAAGCTAACTTCTTTAGGCAAAGTTGACCAGAGATGGATTTACTTTTAGGTCCATGTTGGTCATAGAGCGTCCCACGTATTCAAGAAACAACACTTCTTATGCTTTCGGAGTTTTGGATTTTCGTTAGATCTCGGTTGATAGATTTAGTAAGTATCTACTGAGTATTAATATCAACGAACTCCCTAAGGGAAATTTTATCTTTAGATGTTTTCAACTCTTCTTTTTATGTTACTTTTGGTCATAAGGCTCCTAGTGTATTTGAATCTTCTCACATCCAAGGCTTTCAAAGTAAGGTTCAAACGCACCTGATATAATCCGGCTTATTATCAATACACTCACGACGTCCCCATTCCCTCTCAGTTTAGAGTTCAAACGATTCCCTAAGTTTATTTCGTTCTCTTGATTTTGTATATTCTAAGAGGATTTAAGTACCCTTAAATTAGTCCTTGTTTATATCTCTGATATACGGCAGTGCTGTATTAAACCGTCCTAAGTTTAGCTTAAGTACCCTTATATTTATCCTTGCTTATATGTCTGATGCACTGCAGCGCTGTTTTTAACCGCCCCAATTTTGATCTGCGTAGCCTTATATTTATACTTGTTCATATCTCTGATACATTGCTGTGCAGTTTAAAACCGTCCCAATTCTGACTTACGTATCCTTAAATTTGTCCTTTTTGATATCTCTGATACACTGCAGTTCTGAACAGCTCACATTTTGATATACGGTATCCTATATCCGTTCTTATCTGTATCTGCAGTGCTAAAATAACACGTTCACATTCTGATATACGTACCCTTACATCCCTCCATATTTGTATCTGAGATACACTGCAGTGCTAAACCATCCCTCATTCTGATACATACCCTTGAATCCATCTTTATTTATATCTCCTATACACTGCAGTGCTGTACCAAATCGTCCCCATTTCGACATCCCTTGTAACTTTTGTCCACTCACTCTGAGTAGTATATTTAGCTGTTCATATGTAAAGAAATATCAGCCATAGATTTAGATTGTATTTGTTAAATACAAGGTTCCGAAAACAGGGTCACTTAGGGGTTACTCCCTACCAAATACAATTAATTACATAATACGAGAAGATAAAAGTAGTATGATGTTGGAATACAATATGATCATAATATATTGGTAATTTCATTTTGGATTTAAAAAAAACACAAAATATCATTATTTACGTTTTCTTGGATGGATTGCTTTCATATAATTTAAGACAGTAAATATAACTTTAGTCGAAAAACTTTTAACCAAAAAAATCTATACCAATTTATGCGTTAGTTTGGAACATGTTTTTGGAATATTTGTTATTCGAAAGCTTTCAAAACATCGAAACTGATCTGGTACCAATTGTTTTAATGATTTTTTTTACAACAATTTGGAAGATGTCACCACCGATGGACGTTTCATTCCCATGTGTTGAGAACCCAAAAGTCAGCGCTGCTGTACTTATATGAAATATAATTGATGCAGTGAGTTTGTCAATTCAATGTTAAAACATCGATAAGATCTTTCTAAACTTTAGATCTACTTACATCTGTGTCCCCATAGTATATGTAGACAACGCCTGAATCTAGTACGTCATTATATTGAAGAGGTGCTCCGACAAGTAAATCATCTAATCCATCACCGTTTATGTCTTCAAAGGCAGTAGAACTACCAAATCCACTTCCGGACTGGAACAAATAATACATAATGTCGAAGGGTATGCTGGCAAGTTACTGTGAATTCATTTATTTTCATTGGCTAAGGAGAAACTGTAATTTCGTTTGATTTCGTAGTTTTAGTACTTTTACACGAGTCTGCGTTCAAGCCTGTATAAACAATGTACTTCGCTGAATAAATGAACTCGTAGTTCACAAATATCAACGAAATCAAGGAAAATTGGTATAGTATGACTTATAATGAATCCAAAGTAACATAAACGCCAATGTATTTAATTTTCACTGATCGGATGACCCAAGCCCTTTACTTTTGATTTTTACAGTATGTTCTAATGCTTTGATGTTGATCCACTGTCCCAGACTTGTGGTAAGTTCAGAAAACATGTTGAAGAACAGCATTAATTTGGAGCATTTTTGTTTTGCCGGTAGCATATGAACCAGTGGTTGTCTGCTGTTTGTCATAATTAGTTTAAAAAAAAGATAGGTGAAAGAAATAAATGAGACAGTCAAACTCAAATGTCGAAACATACTGACAATGCCATGACGAAATAAAAAGAACGAAAAGTCGAACGACAGTACACAAAACACAATATAGAAAACAAAACACTAAACAACACTAAACCCACTCAAAACCGGAGTTAATCTCAGGTGCTCCGGAATGGTAAACAGATTCTGCTCACATGTGACACCCATCGTTTAAGTGCAAACCCGGTAACTTTTTTATTGTTGTATAAATCAGAGCGTGGATTTTCTCTTTGAATTGTTTACTTATTTATAATCTGGGGGACTTTTATAGTATATTATACGTTGTAGGTTTTATCCATCGACGGTGTTACGGCGACACTGTAATTTTGCACATCTTTGTCTTTGCTCTCTGATGGAAATTGTCTCATGTACAGTCCTATCCGTATTACATCTTTAGAAACCAGAAGTAGTTGTCTAATCTTAATTTATCTGATAGTGTCCTTTTCCCAATGTTGACATTTTAAAAAAGTAAAATAACAAAAATACCGAACTCCAAGGAAAATTCAAAACGGTAAGACCCTTATCAAATGGCAAAATCAAAAGCTCAAACACATCAAACGAATGAAAACAACTGACATATTCCTGACATATTAACTGAGAGTAGATTCGCATCCGGGGGAATCATGCATAGCAAGAGATTCTAACCCCGTCGATGAAACGCTCCTTTTAGAGTTTGTGAGATTTTCCAAGTATTTTTTGTGACTTTGATTTATGAGATGTGAATATCGGTAAACACATTTTGCATTGATTTGTCTGTTTTCCTCGACATAGTTGCTTTTGGTTCTTTCCTTTGTACCTCCTTCGCCTTTTTGGTTTTTGTTGCTAGCTAAATCTCTCACTTGTATGACAGTTGTGTATAGTTCCGTTTTATTGACAATATTGGGTGAGCATCCCAAACAGACATAATAGGCTAATGTGAAAATGATTGGGATCCAGCAGCAAATACTGTGTAAACATACATCGCAGACATACAACACAATTAACTTATACTGTACATATTGTATAAACTAAACGATACGATTCAAATCTATTGAAAATATTGTATAAACCAAAAGGTACCATTTCACCTGTAAACTGTTTCTTCAAATATAACTTCTTGTCGGTTTGTTTTAAACAAAAAACAAAAACCTATAAAAGAAACATTCCTCTGCAGTCAAGATTGAATGATGTGATATAAATTATATAACGTATGAAATTATTTATCTGTATATATACATTTCATTGATTATTGTTACGTTTGACGAGAAATCAAAGTCTTTAAAACAAAAGAACCAATTTTGTCATGACGTTGGCTTTTATAGCAAATATATTAGATATTGACATAATTGTACGACTTCAAACTAAAATCTATGACAAACGTGAAAATTGCAGTTTTCAAATTGTCAACTTCCCTTTGGTACGTTACGATAGTGCATGTATATATCTTGAGGGGAAAAAATGCTCGAAAATACGACGACTGCTGAAACCATCATAACAAAAGTTTAACGGTCATCATTACAAATTGGTTGCCTGTAACTATGTTTCCGTGTCTCAATTTACTTGCGACATGTGTTCGTATTGCTAAATTATGCTAAAATTTAGGTTTTAATGAAAGTCATCTACATTTCTGATGTCACAAATGCATCAATAATGACTCATTTGGTGGAAATCTTCGCTTATTGAAACAATTGGACATTTTAACATACGTTTTCATCCAGTTTTCCCACATTATAGCAGTTTAAAATATTCAGACCTTTAGGGCCACATTATGGGTAAGCTAATCAACTCATTTACCGATTTTGACATTTTTCAGAGAGAGGATTCGCATTTAAGTTGCTACGTACATACAAGTAACTTGTGACGCTTAGTCTGCGGACGCAACCGGTCTCTCTCCTATTTCTGATTCCATTAGGAATTTATTCATAGCTTGATTAATATCTTTTTAATGAATTTATAAGATTTAAACATCGGTAAATTACTTTTGCCCCTCACAAACTAGTTGAAAGACGATTCCGTTAAAAAAAACAATTTTACAAATAAGTTCCTTGCATTGTTTTACTGATAAACGAATAAAATATGTTTGAACACTAACGTAAAAGGTTCCGACAACTCGTCATAAATTTTAATTTCTCCTTTATTCTGTGTCATTTCATCATTTCATCCCGTCCAATTAACATTTGATTTATGGGACTACGTGGACTATTTAATTGTATTGTATTCTGGGTAGGATATATTTTCATACCTGCATTTAAATGAAATATGAATTACAACTTCTGGCTATCCAACTATAACAAATTCTAATAGAAACAATTGTTCAGACTTAAGGATGTAGTCATTATATATAAAAAAAAAAAGAAGACGCGATATGATTGCCAATGAGACCTCTCTTCACAAGCGACCAAAATGACACAGAAATTAACAACTATAGCTCACCGTACGGCCTTCAACAATAAGCAAAGCCCATACCGCATAGTCAGCTATAAAAGGCTCCGAAATAACAAATGTAAAACAATTCAAACGAGAAAACTAACAGTCTAATTTAAGTACAAAATAATGAACGAAAAACAAATTTGTAACACAGCAACAAACGACAACCACTGAATTCAAGATTCCTGACTTGGGACAGGCACATACAGAATGTGGCGGGATTAAACATGTTAGCGGGTGCCCAACCCTCCCCCTAACCTGGGTCTGGTTGAGGAATTTTTGTCAAATGTTCGGACTCCTTGCGTTTCCTATCTAACAGGGTAAAATATTTTGCCCCATATCACCCATTTTTCTTTTCAAATTAGACTTCAAAAGCCCAGGCCATTTAGCAGTTTTCTTTTCTTACGAATTGAGACCAAAAATTGCCATTGTCAAGGTTAAAGTCCGAGACAGCCTTAAGTTTACTCGTCATTTTTAAAAATTAAATCTCCCGAAAAGGAGTTCCATAACCTATCAATATTCTAAGCTTATTTTGTTCCTCAACTATTGCTTTTCTGATTTATAGTATCAATTATAAATTCCAGACTTTTTTAATTTCACCTTAAGAACAATAACTATTCCTTAAATTTATTTTTTTTTGCGTCAGTTGTTTATGTTCATCGACATTCGGATGTTTGAGTGTGTCGCCATTCGGATGTTTTCGCCATTCCGATGTTTGTGTGTTGGCATTAGGATGTGTTCGACAACTAACCTGACTTGACTGTAGAAAAGCTTCAGCTATTAGCTTGATTTATTTATAAAATGTACATCATTTTAAGAAATGAAACTGAATTGAATTTTCAAGTAAGGATAATCGCTCTGAACTAGCAATGGATAAAAAAGAAGGGACTTTTCTTGATAAACAGGTTGTAAAGATAAAAAATGAAAACAACCTACTGCCCCTACTATTCCATTTTTCCATGTAGAGTGTGGGGTTCCTAATACAATAACTCCCGGACAATCTTCATCAGAATCTGAAAGCTTTCCTGTGCTGACAGAGTAACCTTGTATAAAATGAGAATGCGTTAAATGTTTTAACAATAGCTATTTAACATTTTAGAATATAGAGTAGATGATATAACATGGTTTAAAAAGATATATCTTTGTAATACTTTCACACAATCACATAATTGCAATGTTGATTGTATAACCTGGTACAATGTATAAAAACATAATTCTGATATGACGTTTTTCTTTCGCTTTGGAAACAAAGCCATGCATGTTCTAATTCCAATAGAACATGGGCTGCACGTGAATGACTTTAAGATTGAAATTGCAACATCCAATCTATTTTAAACAATGCTGGGACATTTGTGTTGGTGTTGCTCAAAGGAAATTAAATAAAATCATCATTGAAGTGAGTTAACATTTATCTGTTCAGTTTTGTTTTTTTTTTTTTTTATCGTGAAACGGTCTTTTTTCTACAACGTTTTGGTTTTACTAAATAAAAATGGCACCTTTCGAACGTGTCTTATAGGTCTGCTTCGAAGTACAAAAGGTCCAGATTTTCCTATAAAAATAGAAATAATTCTATCATGGCATGAAAGAATTACTTCTTATTTCTTTGTAATGTTTAATGTAAATAAGAACAGCATAAAAATCAGTGCTTTATGTTTTACGTTTTTTTTTTCTTTAAAATTTTAATTTCATAATGAAAAAGGCGAAACTACATTAATGATTATACCATATTAGTTGACACAATGTATAAAAAATACGTTACTCTTGTAAAATTAATCAAGTGATAAGGATATAAGAAAATATAAGTCATTGCGATAGATTTGGTTAATTTAGCGCTGCTATTAACAACTGCCCCATCTGATTGATTCTTACTTTTTGTGCATAGGTTAAGAAAATTACAGAATATTTTTCTACACTAATTAAATATTTTAAATATTATATCCCCCCCCCCCCCCAATTTTGTGAGCAATATGTATCTACATTTGTATACAAAGTATTTAAGATAGAATGCGTAATAACAGCTATTTCAAAATAATATAAATCACAAATTTAAAAATATTCAGAACGTTCATTACATATCTTGCTTTAAATCTAACAAAAGATCATGCATTTTTACCAATCGAATTCTATCCCTGAACACCTGATTTTTATATATATACCTGAAATTTTAAACACCCTATTTATTTGTTTTATTTCGAACATCATTTCAGCACACGCGATGGCTTAGTAAAATTTTCTTGCGATTTTTGAAAACCAAATGTCTATGTTTACATATCACATGTTTCTTGTCTAAATGACGGCAGTTTGTAAGTGGTCTATGTCGAACCAGTTACGATGTGTTTAACTCGAACCATTTCAGCATTTGAAAAGAGGTATTTCTCATGTGTACTAGTGAAGATCGTATGATTTTGTACAGTTAGCCTGTCGTGCTGTGTGAAATCCGTTTACTAGTATATATTTCCAGCGCTTGAGTTGTAGGCTCTTATATTTTTACAATTGTGACGTATTTTTTCTTGACATAACATTGCTTGTTTTTTGCATCTTCATTTTAAAGCAGTACAAGATTTTCATTTAACTTTTTATTATCTCTGGCTTTCAAATGATTGGATCGGGGATTCCTGGTGAAGGCAGATCCATAATCCAGCTTCGGACGCACGGAATTTATAAAGTGTTACTATCATTCATGCAGTCTATCCGGATTATTTGCCCTGTTCATTCGTATGTTCCTGCCATCCTGATTATAAAATGTGCCTTGATGTTTTATAGAGGTTGTCGTAAAGTTTGTATTGTTTCTCATTATACCATAGAATTGTTTGATTGTCTTTATAGCATCTTTTATATTTCTTTGATAAATATAATGTATGATGTATACTTCATTGCCTAGATGAAGCATGATGGGTAACGAGCCAAAAATTAAGCCGAATGAGGTAATCTTGAGGTTAAGCGCAAGGACGTCATAACTAGCCTGCTTAAAACAATACTTTTTATAGGCTTTTGTCGAATGAGGGGTTATATAGATTACTCTAAAATGGACGGGGTTTACGCTCAATATCTCATTTATTTGCGATTGTTGATATGTATATATGATAAAGTAACTAATGTGATGATGCAATGATGTATTACCCATTAAGCTTCCATGCTGTAGACCTTGCTTCGCGGCATCTTCAGCAAATTCATGTCGGGTGAAGACAGAAAAAAACTCATGAAGCGTTGAATTACCAGTATACTGTAAAAAGCCACCTGTTGATATCAAACGTTTTCTAATTAGTATCAGTTCAATCATATATAAAACCATTTTATAGATAAAAAAAAACATCTCGATAAATTGTTATGATTCTTACATCAAAGAGCTAAACAATGAAGGTAAATACCTTCATATTACTTTATTTATAAGTTATGTTTTTTCAACTGGCCTTTCTTTTAATGTAATTTCAAAATGCTGGTGTAATGGTAAAATTATCAGTAACCTTGGTAATGACCTGATAATATAAGTATCTGTCGAATTGCACTTTACTTCTGTTAATCAGATTTAAGGAGATTTCATCCGTTTAATAAAGTTTTGAAATATATAATGCCTTACATACAAGTATGTAAAACTAAGTGCTTTTCTAATTTATGAACGGAGAATTAAAGAAAAGTTTGTTAAAAATCAAGTCCTATTACTGATAATACCCCGAGGGACTGACAATACACCAGCAGCGGTAAAGTGTCCAAAATATGACAGATTTGATTCAGAATTAACTGTTTATATAACATACCATGGATCATTATTAAACACACATTACTTACTTATGTAAGGAATAATATAACTTCTCTTATGGTTGCGGCCTGTTATTTATTTCTTGCATGAAGAGTCACACTGCACGGATTGTGCTACGAAAAAGTGATACGAAAATCTGCGTTAATTTGATTGGCTTATCTAGCACCATGAGTCGATATTACGACATTTTTAATTAGCTATTCGTTAGGTCATTGATGACTTTCAAAGGTTAAAGACCTATAAATGATATTTCATATTGTTAAAAACATAACTGACGTGTGGCAGAAATAATTATGTAAGTGACTTAAATTGGAAATTGTAAGAAACAAACCTTCATTGTCCAAGAACCCTGGAGCTCCTATTAGTATGTTTAACAATGAATTATCTTCATACTATTCAATATAAAATATACATAAAACTTAGTCAGTATAGCGAATCAGAGGAAAACATGAAATCAAATATAAAATACACGATTAGAAGATAAACACTTTGTGAGAAGGAAGGTAACTTTTCTACAAATATATAAACATGACACAGAACATCTAACTGTAACACAGCGCTCATACGGAATATGCAAATCGCGTTTCTGTCCTGCATCTCTATCTTTATCAATTTCAAAAGGTTTCTTTTGTTGGTTATATTGATAACGTCATAATTCTTATCGCCTTTAAAACGAAAGGCTTATTTCAGTGAAAATAAATAGGGAATGTGTCCATGGGACACAGATGATGCCCCCCTTGCATATAAAGTTATAAAGGAACATAACTGAAGAACGGTAAAAGTGATGCTATCCAAATTAATTAATTTGTTCTTGATCTGAGTTTTGTGGTAATAAGAATTGTGTATAAGTTTCATAACATTTAGTTGAAGCAAACCCAAGTTGGAGAACGGAAACGATCAGCCATTTTTCCATTTGTAAAAGGGCATAACTCTAGAACGGTTAAAGTGACACCACCAAAATTAAAAAATTAATTTGTATTTAGTGGTAATAAACATTGTGTATAAATTTTGAAACATTTGATTGAAGCAAACTTAAGTAAGAGAACGGAAATGAAAAATTTTGCATTTTTCCAATTGTAAAGGGACATAACTCTAGAAAAGTTGAAATTGACGCCACCAAAATTCTAAATTGATCTGTGTTTTGTGGTGATAAGCATTGTGTATAATTTTCATTAAATTTGGTTGGGACAAACTAAAGTTAAAGAACGGAAACTAACTTTGGGATGTACGGTCGTACGTACGTACGTACGAAGGAAGGAAGGAAGGACGGACGTACACACGGACAAGGGTAAAACTTAATGCCTCCTTCTGCTACGGCGGGGGCATAAAAATGTATAAAATGGTGTTGTATGATGATTTTCTATATACGACACATCATTCCTTTAAATATATCTGTTTTCGTGCTTCATTAAATCGCTTGCATCGTTATGCTATGGCTTAAATAGTGATATTTCTTGACTCATTCGGTTTTGAAGAAAAACAATTTTAAAATAACCTTGAAAAACGCATCCCTTTTAGATTTATACACGATATCTACTCACAATAGAGTTCAAAATTATCAAAATAGTATTTTAGTAATTTCGTGCGTCCGACGCGCTTTTCTGGATTTATTCAGACAGGAATGCTTAAACCGTAACACTTAAAAGCCACGAATGTATACATATGTAGAAAAGTTATAAGCTACATGACTACCAGGGACAAAAGAGAAAAGCAAAATTCGGATGGAAATGGAACCATAAATTATTAATTATTTTTTAAATTAATGTTTAAGGGAGAGTTACTCTTATTGACTTAATTGGTCGAATCTATACTTCTTCTTTGAAATAAAGCTAGATCGTGGATAGCAGTTACGCCAAAAGAAATGACTTTGTTGTTGCTGTTGCATGATTTGTTTTAATATGTTTGCAATAAATTTTCATAGCCAGACAAACGATACTTATGGCACACGGATAAACCACTTGTCAAAAGACATGTAATTTGGTTTTCATGGTCTAACTTGTGTCTAAAATCTGTAAGTATTCATACTTTGATGAGTTGAGCTTTTTTGTAATTGATATTTTATAGTGTGTTCTTTTATGTCGTATTGTTACACCACTGTCTCAGGTTTTGGTGAAGGTTGGAGTAAGATAAAACGTTAAAACCCGCTGCATTTGTTTGCACCTGTCCTAAATCAGGAACCTGATGTTCAGTGGTTGTCGTTTGTTGATGTGGTTCATAAGTGTTTCTCGTTTCTCGTTTTTATATAGATTAGACCGTTGGATATCCTTATTGAATGGTTTTACACTAGCCTTTTTTTGGGACCCTTTATAGCTTGCTGTTCGGTGTGAGCCAAGGCTCCGTGTTGAAGGCCGTACTTTGACCCATAATGGTTTACTTTTACAAATTGTGACTTGGATGGAGAGTTGTCTTATTGTCACTCATACCACATCTTCTTATATCTGCTAAATGATATTCCATGTACTTCAGAGGGCCAAGCAATTCTGATAAACTAAATTAAATGTTAACCGTTGTGGTGACAAGTACAAATCTGGTGATAATTATACCGGTAGTTCATTTATCTAAAGGCAAAATTCGAAGGTTACAATAGTTTGAAATATATAGCTTTATTGTCGTCTATGTTATTACCTTTTTGTTTGATATTGAAAGTCCAATCTGAGCTAATTCGAAATCTGATTGATTTGCAAAGTTGTTTCTGAAGACTCTGTAACTGAATTGTTTCGTTGTATACGATTGCAAATTTCTATCTATGTTAAAACACCTTCCAATAGGATGGACAAACTTGGTTTGTCTCAGAGGAATCATATTTTTCCAGAGAGGAGCACAAGTCTACAAAAAAAATAAACAATACAAAACAGTACATCAGTTTAAGTAGTACAATGATAGTTAATCGCACAAAACAAATCCAATAATTAAAGGGAGCTGTCAAATTTATGTGTTGGGCTCAAATTCTCATATTTGAGATATAACATACTAAAACGTTCATCCAAATTATAAAAAGTCTAAAATAAAAAATTTACTAGGCATGGGCTTGATAATATGTATCATCGTTTCGTGTGTATTTTAGTCTAGATGCCATCTAATTAACTATCGAGTTGACCTGCGAAGACTGCCGACGGTCATATAAGCGATATAAACTATAAACATAAATTAAGATATAAATAGGTAGCAAACTCGTTCAATTTGATTTTTCTAGGTCTGTTTAATTTCATATAATAGCTTAAAAATATATGTTAATCATCGTGGTTACCTGTATAAGAATGATTTTTGTGGATCGAATCAGTCAATCAAATGATTTACCTTTGTTTCACTTTCAATGTTGCCACTATTTTCCTTTTAATAACTAAACACGCATAGTTCATGCGTAATCCATCTCTAGCTAAGGGGTCAAATTGAAGTTCACATGAATACGGATTCAATGGGTCGAATTATTCACTTGCAAGTGAATAATTCATCTTCGATGTTTCTTAGCTTATTCTAACAAAATTGAAACATACTAGCTGCTAACAGAGCATTATTATTTCACTATTTCACTTTAATAAATGATTGGAAAAAAATATATATATAAATTTTAAAGGAGTAGGCCCAGTAAGACCCCTTTTTGGCCCCAAAATATAGCAGTTTTACAAAATTGTTAAAATGTAAATTTTTAGCTATTTATTGGAAAGAAGAATACTTCTGTTACATAGATATGGGCAGTTTTTGACAATACAATGCACATGTATCTGGTACTAGCATCATTAAGTCATGCTAAATTACTGAAATCTTCGAAAGTTTAGCATTTTGGTTAATTTTTAGACGGTTTCCGTCTGAAATGGATGTGGCCGCATTTGTGTTCATTCTTAATATTTAAATGTAAGTTGTATTTGATGATAATACATAACATATATAAAGGTTGAGAATGAACACGGATGCGGCCACTTTCATTTTTGACAAAAACCATCCGAAATGTGACATATTATGGCATATTTGATAGATTTTTCATATTTAAGCTTGAATTTGAGCGACTTTAATGATTAAATTAGTTCAAATCTTTCACATAAACTAATTGAATCGACTGAAGTAGACACTTAAGTGTTTAAAAAGTGTCCAAAATCTTTCTTCAGATGAACCTGAATTTTGAGGCCAAAATCGGCCCTTACCGGACCTACTCCTTTCTTTTATATCTCGTAGATAGTGTCCCTTTAAGGGTGTTTATGTATTGTGTATTTAGTTTTTTTTAAACTCTTTTGTCTTGTGCATGTTCTGTTATCCGTCTCGAGAGTTACTTATACAAGTTATTTTGATACATTTGAAAAGACGCAAGGACTATTTAAGCTTTTATGAATATTGCATACATTACTAAAACATTACTGTAATAAAAATGATACCGTGCATATTTAAAATAATAATATGTGGAATATATGCTTCGGGATCAAATTATGAATAACTTTCAAGTCTCAATTAAATTACAGGTTTCCGTCTATATTTGTATAGTCCAAAAAAAATCCTAAAGGGTACTGGGGAATAGAAATACGGTCACTCTTAGTTTTTCATCCGACTGACAGTAAATCCCTTGCAAAAAGTCGTTTGCTTGTGCTTGGTGTACAACTACGCAGTCACTTATGGTCGGAATGGAGAAGTTTAAATCTGATGCCTCGTGCAGAGAGAGTGCCACGTTAAGAATCCTTGCGGCAACTCTTTGAGGGACTCTTAGGTGACCTGTTGCAAGTCCAAATTACTGTCCCTATCCAATTTACTTTCATTTTCCAGTGGCAGTCCAAATTTTCCCAACCTTCATCCCAGAAGGTATCTATTACAGGACCTACCTACTGCATATATTGGTAATTTGTTATCGTCCTGAACATGCATGAAATATTTGCCTTTGGACGTTAAGCAACCAACAATCAATCATTATAGTTCCAAAAGACCAATATATGACCCAGAAGTGTCAGAAGTGTAAGTGCGTCTAAAAGGTTATTATTGTTTCATGAGGATCATTTTTATACACGATAGGAAAAATAACCACATGTCTTAAACAATTTGTAAGGATAGTTATCAAAGTACCGGGCTTATAATTTAATACGCCAGACGCGCGTTTCGTCTACATAAAACTCATTAGTGACGCTGAGATCAAAATAGTTAGAAAGCCAAACAAGTACAAAGTTGAAGAGCATTTATGACCCAAAATTCCAAAAAGTTGTGCCAAATACGGCTAAGGTGATCTATGCCTGGGATAAGCAAATCCTTAGTATTTCGAATAATTCATACTTTTGCAAACGGTAAATTTATAAAAATTACCATATAACACCTACATAAATGAGAACACCTATATAAATGAAATTTACAAGAGCAACTTAATAGTACACAATCAATGTTTGATAAAGCCTCGATATAATTTGCAAAAGTAATATTGAAATTTAATTGTTTGAGTTTGACTGGTTATAACTAATGAATTATGCATGGATATTAATTTGAGGTTCTTATCATTCAATCTAATACGTACATTGCAACTTCAATAGAACTTTTAATGTAAATTGTGTTGATGGCGTCTTAAAATTTTCGAAGGGATGAACATTACCAATTGGAACTATTGGTTTAATAGCTTCTTTGTGAGCAGCAATACTCTATCAAGGAAATCATGATAAGAAACGCAAGCCCGGGAATATCGTATCAACTGGGAAATATATACTTATTCGTGCGATGCTGGAATGTTGCTACATTGAAATAAAAAGTTCAAGTTAAAGTATTTACATATCCTTGACCTTCAAATAATTAGTTATAAGCGTTACTTTTGAAGATAAATACAGAAAGGGTCATCGTCAATCGAAATCTAAAAAGTGCTATTGCCGTTACCAGCAGTTATATCCCCTCTTCCCCATCGTGTTGCCTTTTAATATCCCAATTAAAACTTCCATGTTTACACTGTATGGCATCCATAAGCGGGAATATGCTCCTTACACAAAACCTTCTCGAACATAGTTGTGAAGAAGAACGACTTAAATCGACCTAAACTGATTTGCGACGGGATATTATATCCTCCTTTTTATGTTATATCCTGTTCAGGATTTTTCCAGATTAGAAGAAGTTGTCATAGATAAATAGTCTGTTTTAATCGATGTCCATAACTATTTCAATCATTCTAAATTTAGCAGAATTTAAATCAATAAAGGAAGAGTGTTGTACTTCTTGAAATAGTAAATTGGATTTATATAATGGTAAAATGTATTTTATGGAGTGGCGTACTGGAGTGGAGTATTGGCATAATGTATTTTATGGAATGGAGTGGAGTATTAGAGTGGAGTGTTCGAGTTAAATTTTGGAGTGAGTTTATGGTTTGATGTTTATGCTATTTACAATGCTGTCTAATAGTGCCATATATACAACAACAGAGTCAAATAAAAAGCCAATCGAGGTTAAAAAAAATGCTACTTTCTTAAGACAATGTTTGGTAACTGCGGTTTACTTACAATTATGGTGTCATCAAAAATAGACATTGCTGCTCCAAGTAATTCGTTATCTTCCTCGTATCCAGGGAGGTCTGGCCATCTTATATTATCTGTAAAGTATATATTTTGCTGGAAGTGAACTAAATTAGTTGATAACGAATGATTTTGTCTGTTTTTTATTGACATGCATTTTTTAATTTACCTTGGAGTTTTTTGTTATACTTTTTATCGCAGTATTACTCTCACATATTTCACGAATGAACCTTAAAAACTGGGGGGAATATGAGCGTTAATTATATAAATTTGTACATGTAATATGTTATGATGAGATGATGTTTTATTTAGGTAGGTGTTGTACTTCTAAAAATGACTGCCAACGTTTCATTTTAAATTGTTAACGTAGCTTGTAATTATATAATAGTCTTAGTAGAGGGTTTATTAAGCTAGAAAGATATGTTTGAGTCACAGTCGGTTGTGATATGATTAAGTAAGCCAGTCGGTTGCCGAGGAAAGCTAATAAAACAGTGTTGTCTCGCAATATATCATGAGGATATCATAACGTAGGTCAGCCACTTGTTCTAACCAAGGATTGTATGGACAAGTTTGGCTCCGGTTCTGACATGATTTATGGCAAACAGTTCAATTTTCAATGGCTAAGTAGAAATATTTCAACATCATTTCTAAGATGTGTATGCTTACCAAACACTATGAATCCATTATTACTATATAACATAGATGAAATAGTTATGACAATTTGAAAATCTGAGGTCTATAGGAGAGGATTCAATTTTCAATGGCTGAGTAAGAATATTGAAAAATCTCATCAAGTAATGATTAATGCATTGTTACTGTATAACAACGCTGGAATAGCTATGACAATTTGAAAATATGTGGTCTATTTAAGTAGTTCAGTTTCCTTTGTAGGGGGTTCAATTTTCCATGGGTGAGTAAAAAAAATAAAAATATTTTCTAAGATATTTTATTCGTACGAAGTACTTATAAATGCATTTTTACTTTCTAACATAGCTTAAATAGCTAAGACAAATTGAAATTCTGAGGTCTATAGGAAGGGTTTCAGTTTTCCATGTTAGGGTGTTCAATTTTCCACGGCCGAGTAAAACTTTTACAAAAAATTTCGTAAAATGTTTTATTCCTGCCAAGTACTTATAACTACATTATTACTATATGAATTGAAAATATTTTTAAATTTTTTACTCAGCAATGAAAAATTGACCATGGAAAACTGCACCCACACCACTATAGACCGCAGATTTTCAAATTGTTATATCTATTCGATCTTTTTTATATAGCAATAATGCATTAACTAGTTCTTGGTAGGAATAAAACAAGTTATATTTAATTTATATTTTAACAATATTAATTTTGTATTTACATTGTGTCATAGATCAAATTTATTCGTTCAGTGTATGTTCACTTGTTTTTATAAATATGTCTTTTGATTGAGTTAAGCCATATAAATTGATATTTTATAGTGTGTCTTTCTATGTTGTGATGTTACACTATTGTTTCAGGTAGGATGAAAGTTAGCGCCTATTCAAACGTTTAAATCCGATGCATTTCTTTGCACCTGTCCTAAGTCAGGAACCTGATGTTCAGTGGTTGTCGTTTGTTGATGTGGTTCATAAGTGTTTCTCGTTTCTCGTTTTTTATATAGATTAGACCGTTGGTTTTCCTGTTTGAATGGTTTTACACTAATCATTTTTGGGGCCCTTTATAGCTTGCTGTTCGGTGTAAACCAAGGCTCCGTGTTGCTGGCCGTACTTTGACCTATAATTGTTTACTTTTTACACATTGTGACTTGGATGGAGAGTTGTCTCATTGGCACTCATACCACATCTTTTTATATCTATGTTATGAAGTTATAAAACATAACTAAGTACTTGTCATGTCTCATCCATGAAAAATTGAACCCCCTACCAGAGAAAACTGACATCCCTATTGACCCCAGATTTTTAAATAATCATACCTATAGTTTATATAGACTTTGGTAATAAAGATAATATTCCAGCTTTGTTATGTACTTATAATGCATAGATAAGTACTTGGTAGGAATAAAACATGTATGAAAATTTTATATTTTTTCTACCCAGCCATTGAAAATTGAACCCCATACCATGGAAAACTGAACTCCATCCAATATAGACCTCAGATTTTTTATTGTCATAGATATTCCAGCTATGTTATGTAGTTTTAATGCATTAATAAGTACTCGAAAAGAATAAAACTTTTTTTTTTATTTTTACTAAGCCTTGGAAGTTTGAACCCCCTACCATAGATAAACTGAACGCCCTCCCTTAGCCTGTATGGATCTTATCAACCTACCATTTTTACTTATGTAAATTGGTTCACATTTAGCCTGTAAAGGTCCTTTTTGCCTACCATTTGTCCTCATGTCAATTGGTTCACGCTTAGCCTGTATGTGTTCTATTAACTTACCATTTGTGCTCAAGCTAATTTGTTCACACTTAGCCTGTATGGATCCTATTTGCAACAATTTGTGCTCATGTTTTAAATTGGTTCACACTTAGCCTGTATGGATCATTTTTGCCTTCCATTTATGCACATGTTGATTGCTTCACACTTAGCCTGCAACGATCCTATTTGCCTACCATTTGTACTCATGTTAATTGGTTAACACTTAGCCTGTACGGATCCTTTTTACCTACCATTTGTACTTATATTAATTGGTTCACACTTAGTCTGTATGGACCCTATTTGCCTACCATTCGTGCTCATGTTTATTGATTCACACTTAGCCTGTATGGTTCCTATTTATCTGCCATTTTTGCTCATGTTAAATGCATCACACTTAGTCTGTACGGATCCTATTTACCTACCATTTGTGCTAATGTTAATTGGTTCACCCTTAGCCTTTATGGATCCTATTGACCACGTGGCAGGTGACTAGACTTCAATCTTAATTGACTACGATTACAATTTTTACTACCGAAGGTCGGTGGTTCTTTCCTGGCACTCCGGCTTCCTTAACCAACAAAAATGACCCACGAAATAGCCCTATAGTGTTGCAAGTGGTGTTAAACACCAATCATTCAATCAGTCAATCTTATTAACCTACAATTTGTGCTCCTGTTAGTTATTCATACTCATCCTGTGTAGTTTCTTTGTTTTGATGTTTATATCCGCACAATCGTCCTGCATTGATTGTTTTTACAAATGTACCTACCATTTGTTTTGATGTTAATTGGTTCAGACTCATAATAAAGCCATTGTATTTCCCTACCATTTGTTCTGATATTCATTAGTTCACAGTCATCCTGAATAATTTCTATGTCACACAAATTTTCGGTATGGAATATATTTATTTACCATCCTTTCTAATGGTATTTGGTTCACGTTTGTCCTGCGTGAATTTGATTTACAATCCATTTGTTCTGCTGTTAATTGATTCACACTTTTCTGTATGATTTCATTTACCAAACATTCGATCTGATTTTCATTGTATCAGACACGCCTGACATGGATTTTATTTACCGACCATTTGTTCTGTTGTTCGTTGGGTCAAAATCATCATGTATGCATTCTATTTACCTATCATTTGTTCTGGTTTCATTGGTGCACGCTTGACCCGTATAGATTTTATTGACATACCATTTATTCTAATTTTCATTGGTTCACACTCGAATGGATTTTTTACCTACCTATACATTAGTTCTAGTCCACCAGGAAAGGATTTTAATTGACCTTCGATAAATTCTGATGTTCATTGGTTCACTCACACTCACGTTCTATGTGAGCTTTGCTTACTTACCATTAGTTCTGATGTTCATTGGTTCTCTCAAACTCCCCTCCTGAGTCATTGCTTACATCCATTGGTTGACTGACACCCACCCCTGTGTGAGTTTTGCTAATTTGCCATCAGTTCTGATGTTCATTGGTGTATTCACACTCATCTCCTGTGTCATTGCTTATATTCAATTTTTCTGATGTTCATTACTTCACTCACACAAACGTCTTGTGCCATTGCTTACTAACCACTAGTTTTGATAATCATAGGTTCACTCACACCCACGTCTTGTGTCATTGCTTATGTTAACCATTAGTTCTGATGTTCATTGGTTCACTCACACTCACGTCTCGTGTCATTGCTTATGTTAACCATTAGTTTTGATAAGCATAGATTCACTCACACTCACGTCTTGTGTCATTGCTTACTTACCATTGGTTTTTATGTTCATAGGTTCACTCATACTAACGTCCTGTGTCATTGCTTACTTACAATTAGTTCTGATGTTCATTGGTTCACTCACACTAAGGTCCTGTGTCATTGCTTGCTTACCATTAGTTTTGATGTTCATTGGTTCACTCACACTAACGTCCTGTGTCATTGCTTACTTACCATTTGTTCTGATGTTCATAGGTTCACTCACACTAACGTCCTGTGTCATTGCTTACTTACCATTAGTTCTGATGTTGATTGGTTCACTCACACTAACGTCTTGTGTCATTGCTTACTTACCATTAGTTCTGATGTTCATTGGTTCACAATCTTGTGTGGGTTTGGTAAAGTTCAGTTTACACTTAAATATATTGCCTGGTGTCGTTATTATTTGGTCGTTCGTAAAGTTTGCCTTTATAGCTCCTATTACAACCCTGTAATGATTAAAACAAGAATTAAAAAAAACATTAAGCAAACTATATTTATTTTGATACAAGTACATCTACGATGGAAAAATGTATGCCAGTCCGAAAATATTTAATATCATACAATACATTTGTTATTAGAATTATAATCATTAAGGCATTTCTGTCCTTTTATCCTATCATAAATCATATAAAAGCGGCAACTCTGTATATCTCTGCGCCAATGTTGTCCAAATGGTATTTATTGAAAAGCAGGAGATATAATTTTGAATTTTTTTTCCTATTCCTTATTTTTTGAATAGAATATCTGGAGACGATTCAAATGAAAATTCTAACTCCTGCTGTTCATATGCAAAGATTTATAGTTCAAACTTCCTGTCGTTTTAGTATTTTACTATACACTAGATAACTCCAGATATGATTTCGTTCTTTTTCTTCTCGAGAATAAATTGCCTACAGCATAAACAAGTGTTCTAGTGTTGATTACACACCTATAATCAAGTTTGTTTCATTAGTAGTGTATAGATCTGTGTCTTTTTGTTGTTTGAATGTATAAGTACCCGGCTACGTCCACTTGTATTTGTAGTATTTGTATTTTTATCCATCTGATGAGTTAAGCCTCTTTCAACTGATTTTTATAGTTCGTTCTTATGTTGTACTGTTACACCACTGTCCCAGGTAAGGGGAGGGTTGGGATCCCGCTAACATGTTTAACCCCGCCACATTCTGTATGTATGTGCGTGTCCCAAGTCAGGAGCCTGTAATTCAGTGGTTGTCGTTTGTTTATGTGTTACATATTTGTTTTTCGTTAATTTTTTGTACATAAATTAGGCCGTTAGTTTTCTCATTTTCATTTCGGGGCCTTTTATAGCTGACTGTGCGGTATGAGCTTTGCTCATTGTTGAAGGCCGTACGGTGACCTATAGTTGTTAATTTCTGTGTCATTTTCTCTTGTGGAGAGTTGTCTCATTGGCAATCATACCACATCTTCTTTTTTATATATAGGGGCCGTTTTGGGACAATTCATCTTTTGGTTTTTCGATACAATGCAGTGAGGGACCATATATGACCTCCAATTCCATCACTTAGATTGATATATAAAATGTACTAAACTAGGTGGCGTCATAGGTATGCTTCCGGCGTCAAACGTACACACCGGGCGTTTTCTGGCTTCTTGACCGCTTCAGAATGTAATGAAATTTGATAAAAAGGAGATTTCTAGGTGCAACATGTGAGTTTTTTGCTTATTATTGTAGAAATGTCAATACATTCTGCAATTCAAAATGTCGGCTTCCTTAGTTACAGACAAGGAGATAGAGAAGTTTACGCTTACTGTCATCCAATCAGAACCATTGATACAAAATAACTGCATGAGAATGATATATATAATGTATGATACGATGCATGTGTAATTCCATCACTAAGACTGATACATACACATACAAATACAAAGACAAACATTTTATTGGCACAACCAAATTACTATAATTGGCAAAGGCCCATATTTCAGTACATTAATGAATACAGCATAATGAAATAATATGTTATAAATAGAGAGCTAAAATCTCGTTTCTATAATCCAGACATTTACGTATATAAGAACTAGTCAATTTCAGGACTTATAAAGAATTTCTATTAATGCAACATTTCATATTTACCTGGTTCTCACTACTACTTTAGGAAGTATATTTAATATAATAGTTTTAAAGTTTATTCTGTAGTTTTCACAGTTCAGTAAAAAGTGATTTTCATCATCTACCTCACACGATTTACATACATTATAAACTCGTTTATTGGTGGGTAAACCTAAGTGTCGCCCTTTTTCTATAGCAAGATTGTGTGCACTCAATCTTATTTTACACAGAGATGACTTTTCTAATTTGTTACTTATAATAGAACATCAACATAAGAACTACGCTGCTTTGAATTATTAAATTGTTGATAAAATTTTAGTTTGGATGAATTGTACATTTTTGATGATTGATCCTGCGTGCACTGACCAATCACTCGTTGTTTAATACTTGGTAGATATTGTTTAATAGACACTTTTCTCCCAGCTAGGTTTGAAAACCCTAGATTGTTTAAAATAGAATAAAGTTTCTTTGCCCAGGGGTTATTTTTTTCAGTTGCCAAAAAAATTTTGGATACAAGGGTGTTTTCAGACCCTAAAATATATTCAAAAAATTTAATACAAGAAAATGAGATTTTTGACCACAATGGTAGCCTGCCAAGTTCAGCTCTACAAGCAGCATTAATTCCTTTGCAATGAACACTTAAAATTTCTTTAATGAACTTCATATGATTTTTTTCCAAAATGGAATTGTCTCCTAAAGTCTCAAAAACACCCAAAACCTCACTACAATACAGCAAGATCGGACTTTTTAATGAATCAAATATTTTTCTAAAAGTTTACAAGGATTATCCAATCCAATTGTTTTCTTAATCTTAAAACAGGTTTTCTAGGTTTTTCCATAAGTAAGGATACAGCTAAGTTGAAGTTACCATTACACTTTAACATTATTCCCAAGTAACAATATTTTGAGACGGTTTGTATGTGTTTTACCATTAAAATTAAATATTATACCTTTGATTTTTGTACGTTAACCTTCAGTTTCTAATTCGAGCAATATGTACCAAGAATATTGAGACTGGTTTGTAAACCAGTTTTGCTTTCTGATAGTAATACAATATCATCAGCATATAAAGTATAAACTTGAAATGTGTGACTTTTCAAAAATTGATGTACAAAGTTTGAATGTCAATATGAATTTTATTTTACTTCAAAAATGTATCAAATTAATTATGATTCCACAAATACTCGTAATGATTATAATTTAATAACTTGATGCTAATTGGACGACAAATAACAGATAAAACTGCACTTGAAATGTTTAACGAATATAGGCGTTCCATAATGGTTAAATGTAATGCAGATTCTTTTGCCGTAAGGTCGTATCTGTGATAAAAGGTATACGCCCTGAGGTATTTTATATTTGTAATTTTGTTTGTTAAGCATCATCGCATTTGCAATCGATAACAGATTGTGAAATTTGAAATAAGAATAAATATAACTGGATGCATTTTATTTACTATGAATGATATATGGATTTAATAATTATATACATACACACAATGTAATAAAACATTGATAAGTGAAATAAAAATGATGTAAAGCAATTCAGTAAATAAAGTAATAATGAAAAGTGAATTAAGAATGCAAAAAATACATACACATATTTGACAACTCTTATAATTTATTTTTGTCAATTTGAAAATATTATTCAATTCTCAATTTCTTCAAGCAATAGGGAGATGGAATATTTCAGAAATGCAAGATCTTTCATTGTCTTTATAATACTTTTTTTACACGAATAACGCACGATGTAATTGAATGAGACTATAACATTGCAGAAATGTTTAAATTTCCCCAAAAAGGATAATAAAATACAAATATGTAATGAGGTATTTCGGTTATGCTTTTAAACGAGCATTTCTCATTGTAACTTAAGGTTTTATTATATCTGATGATCCTTGTATGCATGAACATTGTTAGATTTTGTTTTTACAATTTCAACTGATGTAGTTTTATTCCTAAATCATTTTACGTTTTCGGAGTCAATTTTGTCATCCACAAAAACTGGATCAGGGAGTAGGTCTAGTGTTTTGTGGTCAGATAATAATCCTCTGTAGAACCTAAGGTACTGTTTTGGAATAACGACTTGAGTAAAAAATAAATCTTTCTTCTTCATAGCAGCTGGTACTATCTGTTTAGCTTTGCATTATCTTGGCCAGTACCTCCATCAAATTGATGGACGACCTTATTTAGGGTTTTCTGTAACTGTCATCTTTACGAATCGGGTCATAACATTTATATTTGACGAATATGTGATCCTAGTCTTATAAAATCTCCAGTATACCATTTTCAGCCATTTTATTGTCTTCTATTGATGTTTCGCACAGAAACTGCATAATTCTGATCTTTTCATAATGATAATCATAATTTTGAAATGAATAAAAATTCTCAGCTTGAAAAGTGTATGTTGAAATAAAAACAAATGTTTTCGTCTTAACATTCTCAAATGTATATGAAATAAGTATTATATACATTTTGTGAATTCATGTATTCGAAGCGCTAAACATTTGACTGTCATGCATGTTTGAATAAATAGAAATTAGGAACCTAGACAAAATAGCCAAATATCTGTAAGTCGTGCATATCTTTAAAATTGGTGTTTATGTAAAAGTAATACATTTTAAAGAAATCTCTGAATGTTTTCGTATATTATGAGGTGAAATTTCGTTTTTGTCTTAGTTTTTAATTTTTTATGCACACTTATATTATCTTTTATACAATTCAAACACATTTTGTTTTGAATAAAAAAAAATTGCTTGAAGTTTTGTATGTTTAAAATATTATTTGGATACTTAATTTGTAAATTATAGAAATTGAATCATGAATTTTGATCTCTTAACTATAATAACATTTCTACAAGAAGAAAAAACAAAAACGACGAAATAATGATATTACTGCAATTAATTGATTCAATTTAAACATAAATCTGTTACGTTTCTAAGTTTTGAAAATAAAAAGTATGTTTCATAAATTTTTTTTAACATTACGAAGTCTTATTAAAGACATATATAACAATGTAAACTTTGTTATCATATCATGTATATAATTCAAAATAGATTCTTTAAATTATATATTCATTATATAAACTTAAGTTACATACTCGTTTCTGAAGAAGCTGAAACCAAAATTTCCGTATCAAAAACCATAAAGAGTCATTTTCTGTAAGCATCAAAGAATTTCAAAAAAAATCAAAGAAATGCATACTCCGGGATTTCCTTTATTTTTATATCATGGGTTTGTCATGGTGCACTGACAACAAAAATAATAATCGAAGTGTTGGTTGCCATGGAAACAAGTTACTTTGAATTTGCTTGAAAAACGTCGTTAATGCTCGATGAGAAGTCCATTTTTCCTGTTTTTTTATTACTTTATTGTT